GCGTGAGGCGAATTCTCGACACCCACGCACCGGACCTTTGTGCAGGTCTGACATCTTAAGTCTGGAAAGCGTGCCCATCCGGCCCGCCAGGACAGGACTGAAGCAGAAAGACACGGCAAAATACAACACTCATTTCGGAGGGATTAGGGCTGCGAGTGCTTTCAGCCGAGGCCTTGGCAGACTTGGCACCCCTTGGGGGTACCAAATGGTACCAACACAACTGGGACGAGCAGGTGCCTAAACTCCTAAACCTGCAGTTCTCTGACTCCGTTCTCTTCTGATATATGTGGCATCCCGAACCGCAGCATGACATGCGATGAGAAGGTGCTTTCTTTACCCTAAATCCGAAGCCTTCCAACAGTCTGAGGTACTATGGCGAAGATGGTCATCTTCAGTTGCCTGTCTCTCCGGGAAGCGTCATCTCCCTGGGCACGGATGCTACCGTAACTGCGCACATCCTGCATACAACAGAGAGCCACTGCTGAAAATGACAGAAAAGACTCATCGCCACAAGCAGCTGCCTGACCATCATACGATAAACACAGTGAGTGTTGGTCAGTAACCCTTACCGGCAAAAAGCATGCTGGGTCGAAGCAGACTGTAACTCAGGTGAACACTACCTCAACCACCACCAGCAGCAGCACCAGCAGCAGCAGCAGCACCAGCACCAGCACCAGCACCAGCACCAGCACCAGCACCAGCACCAGCACCAGCACCAGCACCAGCACCAGCACCAGCACCAGCACCACTTCCACTTCTTCCTACTCCTACTTCTACGTCTACTTCTACTTCTACTCCTACCCCTACCCCTACTCCTACCACTACCACTACCACTACGACTACTACTACTACTACTACTACTACTACTACTCCTGCTACTCCTGCTGCTGCTGCTGCTGCTGCTACTACTACTACTACTACTACTACTACTACTATATACTATGCTGCTACTACTCCGCAAATACTACTGCTGCTGCAACAACAAGAACAACTACTACGACGACGACGACGAAGCGGCTACTACTACCTCTACGAATACTGCGACTGCGACTATGACTACGACCAGTCAACAACGACGACTACTGCCAGAACAACTACCAGTACGACTCAGTACGACGAGGATAACCCTGCTGGTAGTGATACTGTAGTGGCTGAACAAGAACAACAAGAATACAACTGACAACAAGAACGAACCACTACAACCAATACTACTGCTACTGCTCTTGCTAGTGAAACTGCTACTGCTACTGCTGCTTCTGCTACTACTGCTACTACTGCTACTACCACTGCCACTGCTGCAACTACTACTACTACTACTACTACCACCACTACCACTAACATTACCACTACCACTACCACTACCAGTACCAGTACCAGTACCAGTACCAGTACCACTACCACTACCACTACTACTACTACTACTACTACTACTACTACTACTACTACCATTACGACTAATACTACTGCTACAGTACTACTACTGCAACTGCCACTTGGAGGATCAGCAACTGCTCTGTACAAGCACTAACCTACTTTCTAGCCTTGTTTGGAAAGTCCGGCCACTCACACTACTGCTACTGTTGATGCGTACTGCGACCATCGCAAGCAACACTGCGCTACCGCTTCCCGGATTTGAAGCACCACTGCAACGACGATTTCTGCAAGTGCTTCCGCCAAACTTAGGTCTTAGGGTTTAGGGCTTAGCCAAACTTAGGGCCGATCTGATCCGCCGTGTACACACTGGCTTTGGAAGCCGAGCGATTCGTCCTCGGTCCGGGCACAGCATCAGTTTTGCTTGGTGAGGTGTGAGCACATGGCTGTGGATGAAGGCTAGGAAGATGTATGACAGTCTTGACATGAGTCGCAAGGTAGCATGATCCAACCCGAGTATCACATAGTATCAATCGTAGCATGTACTCATGTCACTAACAAAACCATCTGATGCCGAATGAGTTTGGTCTGCAGCGGCCTACATTCAACTGCGGCTGGAAGTCTTAATTACAGCAGGTAATGATGTGCTGCAGTCTTTTCCTCATCTATGGATGGGTGACTATTGGTGGTATCTGCTTATGTCATGATGATGAATGCGCTTACTTTGGTTTTGGCCAATGCATGATTTTTGTTGACGTTGCTACTGTTCTGGCTACAGCAGCTGCCTTCGCTTCTGTATTGCTGTGATGATGACATTGAGCTGGCTCGCGTTAATGGGCGAGTAGCCATCTTGATTTCTGCTTGTTCAAACTCCTTGGCTTATCGATGCTACACTCCTGCATGCCTGAGTCTACCATGAAAGTCACTGCAAATGAGGTTCTCAAAGTATCGGGGATCAGAGTCTTACAGTTGAGTCGGCTGTAAAATCAAGTGCGCATATGGCTTCGTACTAGGGCCGGGTAGTACGTAGTACTGCCACATGCTGCTTTCTCGCAGTGGCAATATGGATGCTAAGCCATGCAAGCATGCCACCAGAAGCAGTCTCAGAACGGGGTGCTGACAGTTCTCGGCAGCTGGGCATCCGGCACCCGTTGCATTGTCAGTTTGACTACATCCTGCCGAGAGATTCTGTTCCCAATGTCTTGCGAACATATGCCCAATAAACACGATCGGCAGCACATCCTGTAGACACAACAACAGATACGTTTTCTGTAACTGTGATGTCTTTCAAAACTTCTTGTGGCATGAACTTCTCACACCGCACTGCAGCACGGAGGCTTCAACGATAGCTGGAGGTTGAAGTCTCCACTTGCCGCCGGAAGTTCTTTGATTCTTGTCCTCGGCCGAGGAAATCGCCTCTTGCAGAGGCATCCGCTTGCCCTGTCATGTGCTTCAGAGAATCGGCATTTGCACACGACATCTTTCGCACATTTTGGTCTTTCAGTGGGAACTCACATAATATACGCATGCCCATGTCATTGGTGCCACCTCTCGGAATTGCTGTCTACCTCCACAGTCAGTAACGGCCAACAACTTGCCCAGAACAGAACTCGCCATCGGGGACTCCGGTTCAGACTGGAGCCCTCAAGGTTTTGTCAGCGTTGCCAGACCGAGTCAGCCACAGCATCTCTTTCGCCACCTTCACCCCCACCATGGCCACCACCACGAGCACCACGAGACCGGCACCGGCACCCGCGCCAGAACCAGCACTGCCACCCCCACCTTCTTCGTCACCAGCACCAGCACCAGCACCAGCACCAGCACCAGCACCATCACCATCACCATCACCGTCACCGTCACCGTCATCATCATCATCATCATCTCTCTCTCTCTCTGAGCGCAGCGTCCCGAGAAACGCCTTGCGAGGCTGGGAGCGGACAGGCTTCTTCAGGAGCCCGGCACCGAAGCGCTGTGCTTTGCACATCCGGTAAGGGGATGAGCGCCCCGTAGGGCCGCCTCACCCGGGCACGTATGCCAATCCTAGGAAACTAATTGACAAAGTAGAGCAAAAGAAAGAACTGTTTTCACAGATATGGAGCTACTTGGCCAGCTGTACAGGCCCGTATGCTTCCTTGCCCCCCTGTGCATTGGAAGCCCTCAATAAGTCGACTGGTGTTGCTAGTCCCCAATCAGTCCAGCTCGTCCAGCTCAGCCACCATGAGTTCCGCAGCTGCAGCTTCCGGAGTTGTGGGGTGCCCCGTGGCTACCGCCTGTCCCTGCAGATGGCCCCATCCGGACGAAGCAGAAGCCGAGGCAGCAGCCGANNGCTGGAGTCGAGGCTGGAGTTGCAGTTGCAGTTGCAGTGCCTGGAGCCGCATTGCCCATGACCGGCGTGATAGCTGTCGTAGCCGCCGGGGTAACCATCTGGTTCGGTGCTGCTGCTACCGGTTGCACGGAGTGGCATCGGCGAGTATGCTGCGCACCATTGGTGGGCCCGCAACGCGAGCAGCACTGCAGGAAGCCAGGATTTACGGCTCGTCCGCACCCTTGCACATCACAGAGGTAT